CTGGAGGCTCCTCTACGATCACACCCAAACCGTCAGTACAAAATCATTACTATTATCCACCAGAGGATCAGCAGCATCCCCGCCAGTACGGCTATGGTCCCTCGCCCGCGTATCCCCCCTGGCTGCATGCCCCCCATCCGCCACGTCCACAGCCGCCACCATGGGGGCCACCACCAGGACCACCGCATTCGCTTCCGCCCTACTACGGTGGATATCCAGGCTATCCAGGCTATCCAGGCTATCCAGGCTGGGGTGGCGGCTATCCCGGCTTTCCCGGCTGGGGCGGTGGTGGTGGAGGTGGCTACCCAGGCTATCCCGGCTATCCAGGATATCCAGGATATCCCGGTTATCCCAGTTACCCCGGCTACCCCTACTCACCCTACTATCGCTCTTCAGGCACCACGGAGGTGGAAAACCAAGTGCCCGGCGGCCCCGACCTCGCGCCCTCCACCATTCCTGGCGTCTTTCAGGGTCGTCAAGTGCTCACCCAGAATTATCTCGAGGGCAGGTCCAATGGAGCCAACATTGTGCCACTCTATCATCTGCTGCAAATGTCCAGAGCTTAAGATTTTTCAATAAAAATATGTACGAGAACAACACGACAAAAAATAGAGAGTTTTCTTGTAGAAAGAAGCAATGTGGAAACTGCAGAAAATATTTTTGAGCTTTCTAACAGCGTTTAAGCATAAAATAACTGACCGAGGGGCACTGCTGCAAGGTGCGTTTATGTCTGAAATAGGATTGAACCTCCATTAAAGAGGTGTGGTTTAAAGATTTCATGAAGAATCAGAGAAGTCGGAGGATTCGGGTACGTTCTTGAGGCCAAAGAAAACTTGATACTAATCGTCTTAAGTGTATTCAAAAGATTATTTGCTGGGAATATAGAGTTGTGGGGCTGAACAATTATTTAAAGCAGAATTTAATAATGAGACTTTCATTGTTAATTCTACTAAAAAGATCTCCACTTAAAGATTGCAATGCAAAAATCATGGATACTGTCACCAAAAAGTTGTTTTTTCTTTCAGATTCAGTTCTATTTCAGGTAAGCTCTACAAATTCTGAAGAGATAGTTTAATGAATAGAACACAAAGAAATCTTCAAAGAATTCTTTGCTCCAGAACAGACCGCTGACCGACACAATCGATAATCGAGTTTTGTTCCTTAATTAAGATTCAACAAAAAGTTTCGCGAATTTCTCGAGGCAAAAATCGGTTGCTGACTCATTTGCGCTCCAGTGCGGCGGCACGGGGCACGGGGCACGTATCGAGGAGCCACAGATGTGACGCATGACAAGTGGTCTCTCGGATAACCATTAAGCATTAAACAAGCACCAAGGCACACATTTATTTGCTCATTTTTTGTGCTGTTTTCTCAGCACATTGCCCGGCCATAAAAAGCGTCAACACCAAACCCAACCAACAGCAGGCGAGTGAAGTGATCTTGAACGCGGCTTTAATGCCAATTGCAAAAAATATATATCCAAAGCTGAAAACGATGCCAAAAAGTAAAAAGAGTCGCAGTTTTTACCTCTTTTTGGTTTTTATATTTTTTTGTTATTACACGAACAAGACTCTTTTTGTGTTTCCACGAAAAGCCCTTAGGTTGACACTTTACCGCGCGATGAACTTCAATCTGAAGTGAAAATTCAAGTCACTCGAGAAGCCGGTCTGTCGGTCTGCTGGTCTGTCGATCTGCCGGTTTTTCTTTTTTCAGTTTTCGATGTTGTAATTGTAATCCCCAAACACAACACACACTATCCGATCGCGACGACGCTCACTGCACTGTGGCTTTCTTGCAAATGTCCAAAGAAATGAAATTAAATGGAAAAATGGAATGGAATTGTGGAGTCCACCCCACCGAATCGAAGTTATATGACAAGTGTGGGGGATTTTTTATTTGTTTGTTATTTATTTGCGGTTGATAATGTCTGTGGAGCATATGTTGCCATGAATGGAAGAGGGGGGTGCCAAGAGTGGGAATGATACTTTGTGGTTTATAGATTAATGATAGGGCGGATCAGTATTATCAGTAGGAAATGTGTGAAAATCAATTGAGACTGTTACACTTTTAGAGATTTTAAAGTAAAAGATAAATGGATCAATGGACTTTAAAATCAGTTAATTATTATAACAAATCGTGATATGACGAGCTTTCTAATACTCGATTAAAGTCAATCCATTGATCATTGCGTGTTCTTCTTGATCCACCCTCAGGGTATATCGTTTGTCTGGCATCTGCTGTCCATCAAATCACGATTTCTGCAAGTCTTTCTGCTTCTGCACTCGTTTACTTTAGTGTTCCTGGCATTTCCCCTTCATTTTCATTATCTTATCGAACACACAAGTCTGGGAAGGAAATAAAAGAAAGCCATAATGCAACTGTTGCTAAACGGGAAACCGAAGACCCCAGTACGAAGCAACCTATATGAAAAGGTAACATCATCGATTTTCATATCACTAAAAAATGGTTTGAACCCCGTCCAAAGATAACACCGCTCCGATATCAATATGTGTATGTACATACCACCGATAAGACACAAGTTCAAGCTTGTTTAAGTAACATTTTTGGGGTGCGGCATGTAGATGGTGTCTCTGAGATTTCCTTGTGAGACATGAGACATTTTGGCAGGGAGGGAAGGGGGTAGGCAAATCATTACCTGACGGACAACGTATCCGATGATGAATTGCAATTACCAGAGGCAAAATGCGTGCAATGTTTTCTGTTTCTGTTCCGTTCCCCTTGTGCTCTTCTGTTGTTGTTCTTTTGGGTCTTTTGTTTTCACTTTGTCTTCTGTTTGGTTTGGTCTGTTAGGAAATTACATCATTAACAAAACAGAAATCTGTTTGTGGAGTCTCTTAACTCGTTTTAATTCCATATGCCATGACATTCGTGGACTGATGGGGGTAACGCTTCGTTTGCACAGCTGGGCAGCAGATTTTGGCGAATCATTTTGTTGGGTGGCTGGGTGCTGTGTGGTGCGTGCCTTGACTTGACTTGCCGATCAATTGCACTGGCAGTTTGGAGTCTTTTAAGCAGCTTATTGCCACACACAAATATGAAAAATAGGTCACAGACATCACACACAAAACATCTAGCCGCTCAACAGTTTGAAATTGAAATCGAAATTTGATACAGTTTCAATTGGTTGCCCCCCTCCCGTCTGATGACTGTCTGATGTTGTCGGCGGAAGGTCGGTCAATATTTCCATCCACTGGAATAATGATTACTCATAGCACAAACACAAGAGAGGACTTAGTAGTACACTCCCCTGCATGCCCAGCTTATGCAGAGATAGACATTGTTGACCCTCTTTGTGTGTGGCTTTTTGTTTGTTCCTGCTATAAAACCTAGACAAACAAACTTGCCACAAAGGAAAGAAAGTGGGAGAGTAGAGTGATTGGTGCCATACACAAGGAAACGAAAATCCCAAGAGGTAGGTCAAGGTGTATTTAAATAAAAGGTGAGGCAAAGCGATCCACTTTTTCTGCAAATTCATAAGTGCATAAATTCTGACATGTGACACCGTGAGAGCGAGAATTGAAGAGAGGATGCTGTCACATTTGACACTGCGAGAGCGGGAGAGCTTAGGAAGTCGGAAGGCTCTCTTTCCATATACCCTAAGAAAGGTGAATACGAAAAGGAAGATCAACTCCTTTATTGAGGTTGGAAGTTAGCTGCAAAGTTTTAAGAGAGATGCCTATATGGGTGCCATACCCCACCATACTATATACACTCCATGCAGGTGAGTGCGAAAAGGAAGCTTCCCGCCAGGAAGCGAATGTGCGTGTGAGGCTCAGAGTAAAATAGAAAGAGAGAGATAAATTGGAGTGCACCGTGAGGTATGTGCGGCGGTATGGGTGTATTGGTGTGTGGGTCTTCTTCATCAGCGTAAACGTTCGCTTTATTATTAAAGCATAAACCAGATTTGTGCTCCTCTTTGTAGTTGGTGTTGTTGCTGTTGTTGTTGGTGTCGCAAGTTCAAATCGTGCAAAGGAAGAAGAAAGAAAGCAGGCAACGGGCAACGGAAGACGCTGCAGATCACGACCGACCAACGACAGCAAACAGCGACAGCAACGACGAGATCAACCAGGGGGCAAACCGGCAGAACCGCTTTTTTCGTATATTTATTTTGTATCTTATTTTATTTCACGTTCCCGCTGTGCCATCGAGGCTCCTACATATGAACATACACTCGCACGGCACTTTCGTATCTTGTTAGGTGCTGCCACACTACCACATATTTGTTAGTCGTCAGGATATGCAAAAATTGTCAGTGAAATTGATTTTATGGCCTCAATTTTGAGTCATCAGCAACTGCCTGCCGTTTGTCAGCCAGCGGCGTTTGGCATGCGGAGGGGACATGGCCATGGCCATGGCGTCGGCATGGATTAAGAAGTTGGCCAAACGGTGGTAGACGACACATTTGATAAATGAAAGCAAATGAGCACTGCAGAGGCAGACGCAGTGGCTGGTGTGCTAAGTACCCCATAATTTCACCGACTGTCCCACAAGTCGTTACCTTTTTCTGTTTTTTTTTTTGTTTTTGTACCTGTTTGAATTTCTTTTTCGATGCGGGTACCGTTAGCTTGACCCGGCAATGGCAGCAACGGCGACTTCGGCGTCGGTGTCAACACAACCACAAAGATGATCGCACCTCACCTGCACTGCTTTAACCGCTCACAATGCGTATATATTCGATATTCGTATTCGTTTATAATGTTAGGCACCGCACGCCCTCAGAATACAAATGAGTGTCCAAAAATGTTCTTAGGAATTAATTAAGCGGGGCTGTCAGTTGGGCTGGGGCGAACGCGGCGATAAAAGCTTAACTGACTGAAGTCGAAAAATTTGCCGCCACATTCACATTTCGCACAAACAGCTGTGCAGCGCAGTGTGGCAGCGTATTTATGGATATAATATCCCGATACGAGAACGGTCACACTTGGGCATGGGCTGCCAACCTGTTGCTGTCCCAATCGGCTTTTATCTATCGTTATCACTTTTTAAAATATACACTATTCACCGATTTATTTGTTCACTTTTCTCATAATTTCTAAAACAGTTGTGGTATTGATTGATAGCTAGCCTACGATTTAAAGCCATAAAACACAACATTACTTTAGTTGATATGATCTCTGATAAATGTGTGTGGTGTGTGGTGTGTGGGTGTTTCCTGTACCTGTGCCAAAATTTCATTAATTTCATGGAGGATCAGGTCAGACCAGACTAAATCCCTGCGTTTGCTGTATGGCCTGCAGTAGTTTGTATTTAAGGCGCTCCTTGGTCTTGTAGCGTGGCAAATCCAACAGATTGAAGCACGTGTGGGCCACTGGCAGGAAACGTTCATCGGTGGTAGGTTGTATAGTGAACTGAAAGGATGAAAATTAAGTTTAATGAATAGACTTACCACGATTTCAATGCACTTACCCCCAAGGCCTTCATACCCTGAATGGGTATACGATCACTGCCAGTTAAATAGAGAAGGAAACTTCTCTTTTCCGCTTCAGATAGATCATGAATCACCTCCCAGAACCATTTGATCTGCAAGGAATACAAAATATGTATCACTATAATGCTTGGTATTGTCTCACTGTCCACTCACTGTCTCATCGCCGGAAGAGTAACCGTGTTTGTATTCGCAATTATCCTCTAGGGCCTGCCAGTCATACTCCTCATTGCCCACGACCACTGCCATCAGTTCCTCCGGCTGGAATAGGGTTATGACACGCCCCGAACACACCTTCATGAAGCCCTTGTGGAAGGCATTGTAGTGCACCTCCGATGACTTGTTGATCACAAAATCCACATAGAGATCCACAAACTCCTGTCTGTTCTCCAGCGTGACGGCAATCTCTTGGCCATTTGGCTTCAGGCTTAAGTTCTGCGTCTCCCCGAAGACATCGCGTGTTACCTCGAAATGCAGATCAAAGACCTCTGTGAAGTCGTCGCCATCATAGTCGAGCAGCGCCTGCATGGAGTTGGCCTCCGTGGGCGACAGCTGCCGCAGATCACTCAGATCCACGGGTTTGTTCAGCAGCTTCTTGTAGAGCGCAAGGGGAAAGGGGAGATTGATGATGGTGAAATTGTAGATGGCCAGGCCACAGAGGACACCAATGAGGTAGTACATGTTCTCCGTTTCAAATGTGATGTCTGCGAACCACAACACGCGCGACTCCTCGAACTCCTTGAACATGCCGTACTTAGGATCCAGTAGATCCTTGAGCAGCAGCATGAAGAACTCCTTGCGCACGCCGCCAGCATCCTCGGCCTCCTCGTCCTGGAACTTGATCTTCAGCGGCTTCTTTAGATCAATCTGCGAGTAATGCTGCAGCTCTCGAATGGAGTCCTGAACGAGGTTCTCCCTCGTCACATTTAACACAATATACTGGGAGATGGGCATGCCGTGGTAGAGAAGATTGAAACATGCATGCTGCGAGAGAGTAATTAAGAGAGGAATTAGCAGGGGGAACTGGCTTAGCTTTGGCCTGCGCTCCATACTCACATTGTTGGCCGCATTGGCCATTGCTAAATGCATTTGGACCACTTGATCCGCCTGCAGCATCGATGTCTTGGCCGACGTATCGAATAGGAATGGAAAATTACAAATGCTGAACTCGCTCGGGCTGCTCATTATCCATCTAATAAACTCATGCTTGACGTTCGCATACCAGTCAAGTTCGGGCCAATAGAAGATCTGATAACTGACGCGCTCCTTTCTCGAATTGTTGATGAGGAAGAGTTCTTTCATTACCTTTAGAATGACATCCAAATCGGCATTGTATGGCATCAACTAAGGGAATGTAAGGGCAAGCATAAATAAATGGACAGACTATCAGGCAACCTTTGGGGACTCACCCTTTGTGGACCCTCCACCGTTGGATTGATGGGCAGCAGTTTCATTGTGAAGCTAATTATGTGCACCACCACATGCAGAAATATGTTGACGACACGCTCGAAATAATCCACTGGCGTTTGGGCCAACCATTTGTGTAGCACCTTGCTTGGGTTCTCCGTCAAATTGAGTATGGCACTGGCCAGTGGCACCTGCAGCGTCTGGTAGTGCTTGGAGTTCATGAATTCGTGATACAGCGGCAGCAGCAGATACACGCGCAGGGTCTCCACATCCGCCGGGGAGGCTACCAGCGAACCAATCAACTCTTTTGTTACATTATCCAAGATCTAGGGGGGCGAAAACAAAGGCATCAAAAGGGTATTTATTTATGTTTTTTTTATGCAGCTGTACGCACCACCTGCTTAATGCTCTCATTCTGCACATTTCGTAGATGATCGAATGCCACTTCGGCCGCAGTCAGATCCAGTCCATAATTACGCACAGAGCAGCCAAAATGCTTCTCGTTTGGCAGCAAAAACGAACCATTCAGGCACGCCTGACTCTTGAAGATCAGCTCCATGGACTGCAGCAGATCCAAATCGCTTTGGTCGCTCTGCTTGAAATGCGCACACTGCTGTGTGGCCTCTGCCGTCAGTGCAAGAATCTGAGATTTGGGTCTGCAAGAAAGACAGGAATTCCATTAGTTGTTTGCAGCAAAGACAACTCGACTCTCTCGCTCACTTGTAGCTGCGCAGATCCTCCGGTGGCACCTTGTTAACATAGAGAGTGGTTGTTACAATCGATTGATCTCCGCCGGAGAAGATATGCTGAATGACAACCGATTCCTTGGCTCCTTCGCTCGATTGTAGCAAAGCGGAGCCACTGGGCGAGACCCAGGGACCGATGACCACCTGTGGCAACGTCAGGCTTTTAGTGCCTCGCGTTCCCAGCTGCCCGGAGCTGCCCAAACCAAAGCCATACACCCGGCCACGGGACGGTACCAACGCGAGGGTGTGGCGATTGCCGCAGGCCACCTGAGTGATGGTGCTGCCCATCAGTTCCATGACCATGCGAGGTATCATCTCGTTGGACTTAAAGCCATGCCCCAGCTGTCCGTAGTTGCCAGCGCCGCAGGTGAAGACTCCACCCTCGTTGGTGAGGAACACGGAATACTCGTCCCCACAGGCTACGTATCTCACACCCAGCGTGCGCATTGTCTTTAGCTGTGTGGGATATGCACGATTCTCCTCATCGTTGAGCCCCAACTGGCCGGAAGTGTTCTTGCCCCAGCCGAACACCGCACTGGACTTGGAGATGAGGAACGAATGGTTGCCGCCACAGGCTATTGTGGCCAGTGGGATGCCCAGGACAGTCGTGAGCTTTAACGGGTAATTGCAGTGCGCCAGCTCCTTTGGAGACTGAACGCCCAGCTGTCCGTAGATGTTGGAGCCCCAGGAGTAGAGTTCGCCACCTGAAAAAGAGGAATACTATAGAGGGAATCATTTAAAGCAGGAGTCTCCTGTTACTTACAGCTCGTGAGTGCCAGACTGTGATTGTTGCCGCATGCAATCTGCACCACCGTTTTGGACACGAGATAGCGCAAGACCTTTGGCAGCTCAATGATCTCCTTATGGGTGGCATGGCCCAGCTGTCCGCAATCGTTGTCGCCCCAGCTCAGGATCTGGCCCCAGTCTGTGAGGGCCATGGAATGGCGACTGCCACAGGCAATCTGTACGACAACAAAGTCCTGCAGCTCTGGTATCAGCACTGCAAGAGAGCGGAAAGGACAAAGGGGAATGGTAGTCATTTGCTGCCTTATTTCCGAGGGATTCAAAGTGGGTTGGTTGGGTGATAGTTTGATGAAGAGTTTGACAAAAAGACAAGACGATTTATGAAAATTACATACGAAATGGCGACATACGTGGCCTTTTGGTGGGCAGCTCGTGCCCCAGCTGGTAGTGATCGTTGCTTCCGCAGGCGTACACCTTCCCATTGGCAGTGAGGAAAAGCGTGTGGCGATGACCGCACGCAATCTGCTCCACCGCCGAATCTGGCATCCATGGTATCTTGCTGGGTACAAGGATCTATAGATAGAAAACCGAGTTAACGAGGCACGAAATGTCGTGGCATTTGCATGTCCTAGGCACACACACACACCTGATCATCCTCGATGCCTCCGAGTCCCAATTGGCCGTGCGAGGTGTCGCCCCAGCAATATAGGGCCATGGCGCTGCGCTCTTTATCTGGTTGCCTGTCCCTGTGTCGCAGTGTTTAGAATTTTCGAGAATGCGCCCCTAAATGTAGCAATGGACATTTCTTTCGTTTCGTTGTGTTCTGTTCTTTCGTTGCTGCTGCACTCAACACGCCTACGCAGGAGGTTCATGCCGTGTGTGGAGTGATGTGTGGGTTCTGTTTCTTGCTTCTGTTTGCCTTTTGTTAACCGAAATTTATATTGTTTTTGTGTGTTGTTGTTGGTTTGGCATTTCTAGAAAAAACTAAAAAGAAAACCGCAAAACGCAAAAAAAACAATAAATTGTGGCCAGTGTGACCGCGGAATATATCGAAAAAATTTACCGCACAACTCTCAAAAATATACCAAAACATAACTTCTTATTTCAAGCTATACCGTAAGTCTTAAATAATTTTCCTTGATATTGATGTTCTATTTTATATTACTAGCTAGTTAGGAGTCTCAGCGCTAAAACTTTAATTTTATGTAGTTCCTGAAATATTTCTAAACTAGATTGGCTACTTTTCACAACTTCCTTTTGTTGAATTGTTAACAAAAAAGGTTCAAAGTAGAACGTTGAAGTTGTACAACCACAAAAAGTATTGATAAAATTAGCGAACTAGCAGCCCTGACTGCTTTAATTAAATGTCCTACTTGTTAAATTGTTACTTTGATTTATAACAACTGCAATTGAGAGGAAAATAGCTAATCAAAACCAAAGCTGCAGTGGTATAAAACTGACCTACAGATAATTGTTATGTGACAGACAGATCCTGCCTGCCTGCCCGCAAAATTCAAACACAAATTATATTCATTCGCTCACACATATTCTGTTTACGAAGGTTGAGGTGGAAAAACATTTATTTGATAATTTAAAAAGTGTTTCAAATAAACTTAAATGTAGCAAAATACGCGCCATTATGCATGTGCTGTTGGTGCACATTTACACGACACACATACATTTATGTTTATTCATTTATTCGTATTTATTAATATTATTGTAAACATATTTCGTTTAGTCGTTTCAATTGCCTTTTGCTTGATATCACCAAAGTAATTTTACATCAATTTCTTCAAAGTTCTAGTTCTCCGCTTCCGCATCCTTTAATTTCCGTTAGTCGTAGTTTTTCAGTGAGCTTACAGCTAGGTTTATTCATAGGTTTTACTGCCTCTTTAGCATATAGTGAAAATATTGTTAGTTGCTCAGTTTAAAGTGATAGTTTTCTGTATACATATGTGTATGTGTATGTGGCTGTGGTGTGTGTGTGTGGGGTGTTTGTTTCGCTCATCAAAGTCGCACCATTTTACAAATGTTTTTTTTAGTTACTCATTTTGAATCACAATCACTTTCGTTTCGTGTTAGTTGAGTTCGCAAATTACCAACAAAAAGACATACAACAATCAAATCAAAAGTAAACCATAAAATAAGGGCAATGCAAATTAAATATACATTTTCGACTTCTTTTATTTTACACAAAAAGAATCAAAAATTCAACGAGAAAGTTCGTTCAAGAGATAGTTTGGCAAAAATTATATATTAGCGTGATTTTAGAATAGTTTTTGTTTAAATGTATTACAAATACGATAATAAATTAAACTTAAATGGGTGGCAGGGGCTGGAGGGGATATAATACGCTACGAAATCTTTAAGTAACAGCTGACATTTTGCTTCATAGCATGTGGGTTTAAACCTCGCATAAAGTAAACGTCTCGTGCACACTCTACGACTACAAAATACAAAAAGAAAACCTATATATGTATATAGTACGTGTATATATGTATATATATATATATAGATGTGTATATATCGTAAGTGTTTTTAGGTTCTGTTTCCGTTCTTAGTGTAGAAGATCAGTAATCAGTGGATTCGCTCCCATTCTCTGTAAATGTTTTCTCTTGCTATTCTCAAACGCAGTTTAGTAGCAAAAAGTTAGGAACAAAATTTAACTGCTTGTTGCCTGTTTGTGTTTGTTTCATAAACTGAATAACAAATGCCTTTTCTTGTTAATTGATAACCTCTTGATCTAGCTGTATGTGTGTGTGTTTGGGTGCGTTGTGTTGTGTGCAGGTTGTAACAAAAAGTCTTTTTAAAAAATTAAACAAATAATAATTGGAAAAACAAATCCTAGGCCTCACGGAAATTCGCAAAAATGCAGTTAACACACTAAATGGGGATTCGCTGCAATTCACATATAATACGCTACGCTACAAGATTCGCTGCGATTGGTAATTGGTGGTTGATTGGTTTGTTAGTTGGTTGGTTGTATCCTTCCCTAATGTCTAGGCTCTAGTGCACGTGCTGATGGTGAGCAGCACTGGGCGGCGCAGTGCCAAATACGCTCATCAGATCACCCTCGAAGAGTGCAATAATCAGCATAATTCCCACGCCACTAAGCATGCCCAGGATCTGTAGCAGAAACTGGGTCAGCGACTTGTGTGAGGCCGATATTTCAGGCATCTATAAAAAGAAAATATAATTAGCAAAAGGTAAAGTCTAAATGCACATCGCTCTCAACCTACCATATCGACCAGGGCAATGTATATGAACAGACCTGCTGCAACGGCAAACATCCATTGGGCCACATCCTGTGACTGGCCAAACGCAATGCCAAAGATCATGCCAATAAAGCTGAGGACACCAGTCAACAGATTGTAGTACACAGCCGATTTCACCGACATGCCCGCCTTCATTAGAATGGCAAAGTCGCCCAGCTCGTGCGGCAGTTCGTGACAGAAGACGGCCAGCGAGGTGGAGAAACCACCGGCAATATTCTCGGCAAATGCCGCACCAATGGCCATGCCATCGGTGAAGTTATGCAGCCCATCGCCCATTATGATCATCCAGGCCACGGCGCTCAGCGTCTCTGGCGGCGAATGGACATGTCCATGTCGATGGCTATGGCCATGATGCGATGACTCGTGCTCCCTCAGTATGACAGTCACATGATCGTTCTTCCCGTCCTTGCCACCATCCACCGCCTTGCTGTTGCTGTTCGAAGCGGCATACACAGCATTCCCATCCAGATCCGTGACAATCGTATTGTTATCCTGCACCTCCTGATGCGGATGCTGCTGGTGGTTGTTATGCTTGTGATTGTGGTGGTTCATTTCCACACAGTTTGTGTGCAGCGTGGAGAGCAGCGACTCTGCGGCAGCTGCCATTTCGCTGGAGCCATCGTGATCGGAAAGTCCATTGCGTAACTCAGAGGCGGAAGCCGCATCGCCGCCTGCTCCTGCCGCAGCGGCGGCCACACCATCGCCTGGCAGATGCATCCACTCGCTCTGCTTGTTGTTCATCGTAATCTCATCGTAGCAGTACGGATAGGAGCTGTACTTTTGCTTGCATATCTTATCACCAGCCCCAGAGTTGTTCACCGATGAGTCCGGATCGCGCATCACCTTCGCACGCGATGGCTTCTTGGTCTCCTTCTTCTCCACGCTCTTGCGCCACTCGGAGATCATGGTCAGAGCATGCTCTGTTATGTAGAAGAAAATGATGCCGCCCAGGCAGCCCAAACCCTTCATGATCATGCCACGCTCATCCTGTCCAGCCAGCGACTGCCAACGAAAGAGAAACATAGAAATTAGCAAACGTAAAAGATGGATAACAAATCCTTTGCTACTCACATGCGGCAGTAAATGAAGCAAGGCATCGCCCGTCATTGTGCCCACGGCCAACGACACCAGATACTGGATTATGTACTTGTAATACCGGGAACCCATAAAGGGTATAATGGCCACGCCGACCAGGCCGAGTATGCCGCATGCAAACACCGAAATGAAGGCATAAACCCACACTGAAATGGCAAAGAAGTTTGTTTAAGACAAAGAACAGAAAGCAGAGAGCAGACTCTACGCACCATAGAACATTTCTTTTTCTGCTCCCAGCAGCTGCTCCGTGCTATCAATCTCCGCCAGCACATCTAGATCTATGCAGCCACCAGATTGTGCCCACAATTCGTGCAGCAGCACGGGACATAGATGCAGCACATCTCGCTCGCTGAGTGTAAAGTTTGTGCTGGCCTCTAAGCTTTTGCTACTGCTGTTCTGTGGCAGCTGGGGAGCGCACACAACATTGGAGTTGGTGCCATTGTTGCTTAGGGTGCAGTTCTTTAGCTGAAGCTCCTGTCCTTCCGTCTCCTGCGGCTCCTCGCTGTGACTGTGACTATGATGGGAGAGATCGTGGGGCTGGACATGTTGCACCAGGCGACTAGCAGGCACGCACTAAACAAAGCAAGGAGAAGTTAGTTTGAGACACTCGCTAATAAAGAGCATTAATGCGCTACTTACGGTTCCCTCGCTGGCGACCATTGAGGGCAGATTGATCTGCTGCAGGAAACTGTTGAAGCCACTGCTGTCCATCGCCTCCTGCTGTGCCATCAGCTTGTCTAGAAAGTATCTGGTGATCTGCGGGACTTGCGGCTTGGAATGGCCATGGCCGTGACCATGGCCATGCTCCTCCGCATGCCGCTTGTCTCTTCTCGAGGGCGGACTTGTGCTGTAATTTTGGGTATCGTCGATAGCTAGCTGCTGTCTCTGATCGGTGGTTTCACTGGAGGGACTGGAGAGTCTGGCGTAGACGCGCGCATTTAGCTGCTCCTCGCTGTGCTTCACTGTGGCGCCTGCTAGCAGGCTCTCCACATGATCCTGGCAATGCAGGCGATGGGCACAGAGGAGGCAGACCACACAAACGGCCATTATGTGACGCGCCATCTTCTCGGCCGCTTATTCCTTCGCCTCTCTCTGCGACACAAAACAAATGCTAAACAATTGTGGTTGATGCTGATTCCTTTTTTGTTGATTCGGTTTACTGGCCAGCAATCATTATAAATATTCAGTCAGTCAATCAATCGATCAGTCAATCAATCATCAATTCACGCGCTCAGTTCTGATCTGCAATAAAACGTAAAAGAACAGAGTAGGGAGGAGATTAGACAAACAACCAACACAAACATCGATCTGGTTACATATTTAGATTCGACTCCACTCTAATCGTTAGCTCGTTATCCCCAGCCCACACTCATTAGACCACTTACAATACACCCAACCCATTTGCCTGCCTGCCCCATTTGGTGGCTCATTGCATAACCAAAATAGTCGTCAGTCAATCACTCAAGCAGAGCGGAAGTTCAAGTTCGTTTGGCGGCCAACTAATGTAGGAGATGTGGATGTGGATCGACACCAGCCAAATATGGGAAAATGTTCGATAAAAGCAGACAGCAGACCAAGCAATCAATTGGGCGGCTTTCAGGTGCTCAAAACATTGCCCATAAATGGAACTCAATTTCGATGCATTCTGTAGCACGTTTTGCGAGAGAACTACAGCACATCAATCATTGATCTTGAAGTGGGAAAGGCGTTTGTAATAATGCGTTAAAGAATGATCTTCAAGCTGGAAACACTTTCGCTCAGGAATCCAAACAAATTGCTCCCAAAGATCTACTTAAAGATCTTCAAGTTTGAAACACATTAGGAACCAAACAAAACTCTTTCTTTTAGACACTTTCCACTTGTTTTGGTACTCGTTTTCCATATCATCAATGTCCAATCATAATGCAAAACATACACAATATCTAACTTGTTTTTCCTCATAAATTGTTAGTACTACCTTTAATTGCTTCCACATTTATTTGTGATAACAGCAGAAGAGAGATGCGCCATTGTTTTTGATTAGAGTTACCTAAAGTACACTCCATATATGAACCCCTCACTTTTATTATATATTTCTTTATCAGGGGTGCTTCTGGCATTGTTCTGGGCTGGGGTCTGGCCTGCTCGTTGAGCTGCAAACGTCACCGATGCCATGCGTTCGCCTCGATAAGTGAACCTCAAATGACGGCACGCGCCAAGAGGCGAGACTTTTCAAATTTCCACCAAACCGAAAATGACTGAAAATTGCTTTGTTAATGTAACAACTTGTTGTTGCTGCTGCTGGCTGTTATTACACTTTTCATGCGGGGGGCACGGGGCAGACCTCGGACAAAATTGTTGCAATTGCGCATTAATGCCACAAGCTCCACGACAGTTCCTGCATTGCTATCCAATTTATTGATAAAACTTGGGCGAATATTTACGACACAGACGACGGTACTAGGAGGGGTGATGGGGGGATGGAGTTGTGCCGCTCAAACGGAAACACGTGGGTGGCCAGGTGGGTGCCGGCCTGCTGCCTGCCTGCCCGGCTATCGACTTAATAAAAAGGGAAAGCCAAGCCGAAGCCAAAACAAACGTCACTGTTGTACATTGCATAAGGGGCGCAAGCGACGAGGCGCGCCAAGGTCACACAGGAAGTGGGTGGCGCGGCCCTGTCATTGCACATTCGCCATTGACAAGGACACGCATTGGCCCTGAAGGTTGCGCAGGATCAAGGTGGTGCATAGCAGGAGGGATTCATACAAAAGGTTGCGAGTTCATTTAAAGACCTGCAGCACTCACTTGTTGAGCAAATTGGAAATGTTCAATTAAAGTTTATCACACTTCCGAGCATGTCCCTCCTGTCTGTCCTTTTATGATCAATTCTGCAGCAAACTTAATTTCGTATCAATAAAAATCAATCAATCAAAATAAAGTATGCAAAAAAAAAACTCTTCCAAAATCTGCGCCAGAAATGCCAAAAATCTGACCCCACAATTCCCGTCGCCCAATCAATCCCTGCAGTCAGTCAATTGGTCAAGTGATGGCCCCGCAGCTGCCGCCGCCATTGACTGATTTGTTTTATTATTTGTTACTTTATTTCTTTCATGGTTTTCTGTGTTTCTTTTTTTTTGCGTTATCTGTTTGTAATCAAGCCTCATTTGAATTCAGTTCGCGTGATTTTATTTTTTAAATGAAATCAGTGAGAGAAAAACTGAAATTGACTGTGCCTCACTTCTCACTGAATGTCTGTTGAGCGCAGTGGGATTTCTGTTTCATTCGGTTGTGCCAATAAATTTAGCAATTAAATTCACTTTCTTTGTGTTGCTGGCACGCATGCGCACAGCCGTCGATTGGTGTTGCAATTAAGTAGAAAGATATTCTAATAGCTTCTGCGTACCGTAACCCATTTATTACTACAATGTGCAATAGCTATTATAGCACTCAATATTGAAGACACTGAACCCGATCCGTAACGAACCGAACCGAACCGAACCGCACCGCACAAAGCCGAACCGCCAACTGAGCAGCGCGCCTCACTTTCCGTGCGATTTATAAGCCCAGTTTCAATTGTGGCCATAAATGTATTGGGGTGTGTAGGGGGCACACATTAAAGCATGCCCAAGATCGGAGGGAGGCGTGCAATACTCGATGGTTACGGAGGGGGCGTGGCTGATTTCAGACCATGGCTAAAGCAAACAAAAAGAGAACATTCCGCGAGCTACTCCAAGTTTGGACCACGCTGTGGATGGATTACTGCACTCTGAAATTAATCTTGATTTATTGATGGGAAATGTCAATATGTTAATGCTTTTATTTAAACAGAATCCGACACTTTAAACTTTAAATTGGTGTTTGCTAGAATTGTAAATCCTCATGTGGCGCTATGCTTAAGATTTTTGCCACTTTTCAGTAATTTCAGTCAGTCAAAAGCGTAGTTGCTGACTCAATTTTTCCATTTCTCCGAAATTTAAGTTTATATTTTATAGCCACGTCATTATTACAATGTAGGACTTGTAGAAGAGTCACGTAAACGCGAGAAATTATTACAAAATTCCTCCTTAAAATCTTATTTAATTTACGGATTGTGCAACTTATTGAAAAGAGCGCCGATTAAATCGATACATTCACGCAATTTCTATAACTATATGCCGATCGTTTATGGCAAATTTCTACAGCGTTACATCCATGAAAAGGTACATCTCTTTGGACCTTTTTGGAGTATCTATAGAGTATTCAACTTAAATGAATTCATTTCCATGGAAACCCTACTCCAGCACGACATCTTTGCATCGAATATGTTTACTTCAAAGAGTCTGCTCTTTAGTCCAAAAGTCATAAAAATTTCTGCCGAGTCAACGAAAAAGGCGTTCGCATGATATCTCCCCTGGACAACTTGAAACCCCCACATCTTTGCATCGAATATGTTTACTTCAAAGAGTCTGCTCTTTAGTCCAAAAGTCATAAAAATGTCTGCCGAGTCAACGAAAAAGGCGTTCGCATGATATCTCCCCTGGACAACTTGAAACCCCAAAGAGCCCTTTCTATACTCTAGAAGACATTGCCCCCTCCGTATGTCTGACTCAGTGAAATAACACATCGCATGATATCTTCAAATTATAAGGTAAAGTTTCATGGCAAAGTTCTATACCTGAAACCTGGGTGCGGACTCAACAGATTATATTTCGCTTGATATCTCCACAACATAAGTGAAAATTTTCGGTGTTTATGCTCAATTTGGTTGAAAATTCTTCGAACCCATTAACTGACTCAACAAAATCAAATTTCGCATGGTATCTCCATTTGCAAAAACTGAATTCTCTTGGTTGGCACGTTTTTTAGCTAAATTTCGCAAAGTATCTCCATTTCATAAGAACAAAGTTTTCTGCTCACTTGACACATTTTAAAGGATCAATTCGTTGATTTTTGAAGCTTATATTTGGTCTGGAAACTTTCCAACTTGTTGCTGACTCATGCGAATCGATTTTCCACAGAGATATCCGCCTTCAGAACTGAAATTTCACCACACTCACACACACACAGAGAGAAACCAATTAGAACAAATATCGCAGCTGTTTTTGGCACTCTGCAAGCCATGCGCTGACTCATCTAATTACACTTTGCATGATATCTCCCATTTGCACTTTGTTCTAACAATAGAATTTCACCATATATAATTGAGATGTAGAACTGAAATTTAAATTGCTAAAACCCTTTCCACATGACACACACACATACACACAACATACCCTGACGTAATCCATCTGCCGGCAGATCTCGCAAGCTGAAATTTCACGCAGGCAACAATACAGCGAAAGAGAGAGGCAAACAGAATGAAATAAACTTCGCTGCTACCTGCGAACGTATACCCATTATATACCTTTTATCTTCGGCTGTACCTTGGGCAGCATATCTTTTCGGAACATTAAAGAATTTCATATCGAGAACCCCACAGGTAAGCAGCAAACAAACACGCAAACACACACACGCGCACTCGAATGCGTGTGCTGTACTCGTACCTTGATTTACACAGTAATTATATTTTCTGGCGGTACAAAAACGAAAAATCACTGACCGAAAGCTCCTGGTTGGTGGAGCTTTTGAATAGCCCGACAGCGAGGGACATGATTTTTGGAGTTCTGGATAATTAGAATAGCTTTTCAAGTGTGACTTTGCAGAGGTCGATCACGTCTAGACATTTGTACATTCCGGATCGGCATGGATCTGGTTGGAACGAGGCTCTCTGGCTCTGACCTTGCGCCGCCTGCTCGTTGGCCGACTGCTTAACTACGTGAGCTGCGCATTTTAATATGCTACAGGTACGACCAGAGAGCCAGCCAGGTTGTAACGCTCTGACACATAACTGATGTTGAAGGGCCCGCCAAATGCGATAAATAATTCATTGATATAGGATACTATATGTATAGTAAACAATAGAATGCTGCAGTGTTTGCTGGGGTTTCAGTTACACTCCACAAGTCGGAAGGTGTTTTGATATTGTACCTCCATGAATAATTGATTTCTCTCACTGAACAATTAAGAGTTTGTCTACCCACCTGGCCATAGCGATAAGGAGCGCCATCATTGGCGGACATGGACAGCAGGCATCCATTGCTACCATGAATCACACTGCACACCACCCACATTCACGTTAGCCTCGCGTCCGCCGACACGTCTTAAAATAACAGACTGAAAACGTATGTGGAGCAAAACACATGTTGATAGTATATGGGTCACTGCCGATAAGCATTCTATCTCATATTTTACCATAATCCTTTAGCGTAATTAGGCTTTAATGATAGCAACCAAAATGGAAATGAAAATGGCACTTAGGAATATATAAAAAAGTAAAATCCACCAAAAATAGCATAAAAACGTGCCGACTATACATATTTATGCATGTATATCACTCACACTCATGTACGCTATGTATGTACGGTACTTATGTTAGTGTGGAGCGGGTTTCCAAATCGCAAGAAGAAGAGGAAGACTCAAAGACTCGCACATGGAAGGAAGGCGGCAGCTATAAATACACTATGAATGGGTGGGCAAAGAGGAGACGCTGATGAGGGGGGCTCGTCGCATGCATTTCCAATGCACTGAGACACACTACTTAGCTAAATAATCTTTAATTAGGCAAATATTGAAACACTTACACACGTCTATGTATTTATTGAACTGTTTAGCGCATACACACAAACACATACACTCATGTACATATACATATGCATTTATCAATTCCAAGAGTTGCAAAGATGCGCGCAGCAGCGATAGTGTTAGGGCCTGCTTGATGCTGTGCTTGCCCAATGATTACTTTGATCCCACACTCCCGGGAACGGCGGGATGACTGATGTGGTATAGTATACGTACTGGCGAGATAACGCCGAATCTTAATTACGTTGCAACAGTCCGAGATTAACACAGAAAATCTACCAAAAGAGCAACTTTTTAGCGGCGAATGGCTCGAGACAGCGGTAAAAACTTAGCCCCGAACGACTGGCACAGCGACTAGACGCCACACTCACACGAACACACACATGCACAGTTACACAAGGTGCTGGTTAACTGTAATCATCTTGAGAACTCGATTGATTCTTTAAACATATGCCAATTCTTTCATATTTTCACTTTGCACTTTAAACATATGCCAATTTCTTTTTTTTTTTGGTATTTAATCGCTGCCGCGAAATTGGATGGTGGCACGACGATGAGTCCGCATTGACCAGGTGCTTCAGTTCGATGATGGGGCTGTCGATATTTTCTTGACTATCGATGGTTGTTCATGGGACCATGCATGGTATATTCTTATAATTTAAACAATATGATGATTAGTTTAAAGTCTGGTCGTGTGCGTAAGAGTTTAACAAAAGAAAAGAATATACATATTTTATATTTTTTCCTGATAATAGCATGTTGCTGGCAGGAGAAGATTTCATGGTCCGCATTGTCGAGAACGTTGCAAACTTCTCAAAAATTTTGGTGTTTCTGGCTTTGATTTTGTGTAAAAATAAAGTTATCATAGGTTCGATTAATTAACAGTCTATTTATGACCTTTATGTTTTTTGCACTCCAGTCGAGAGCCCAGTGCCATGGTTTTACAGGAATTTCATTGTAATTTGACACAATTCATTTAAACTATGTCTATTGTTTTTAGGGTAATCTAGGATACCTACACTATTTCCACAATCGATGGTGGCCACTATCGATTTTTTTCCCAGCCCGAGTTTCCTGCGGCACTATCGATAAAGTATATCAAATTATACCTTCTCATTATAATAATATACCGTAGTCTCAAATTATATTCGTAGTTTTGTATGTTCTATTTGATTTTACAAGCTTACAGAGACTTTTAACACTGTAACAATAATTGAATCCGTTTAAAGAAGCAATTTGACGTATTTTAAATACTAATTGTTATTGGTTTGTATACCTTATGACTTAATATTTTATAAATTCAAACATTCAAATCACCCCTCCTGGAAGCAAGGAAGCTTTGTATACAGTATGTAAGTGTATGTAACATGTAGAGACACATGTATGTTAACTGATGTCATTTAAACTTTTTGAAAAATACCGCGCGCAACGATAAAGGAAAAGAAAATCTATTGTTTATCTTAAAATTGCACAAAGGGAACATAAGTAAATTATAATAAGCTTTGAGTGGTTTGGGGGGGCAGTTTTTCTATCCTTACAACATAATTGGGGGTGGGGCTAGAATCCGGTCTAGCATCATTAATGGACGGTGTTTTCATTGATTTGAATTCTTTTCTATTTTTTGTATATATATATGTATTTTATATTAAGTTAATCCATTATTTGTTATTTGAAGTTTTTATTCTACCGATCTTGCAGGAAACAAGGGAGCTTTCACGATGAGAAATTTGTGTCAAAAAAATAAGGTGTCGACAAAAGGTAAATACGTCAAAAAAAATGTCAGTGGCGCCAGGTAAATTACACGGCAATTTGCACCCTACGTGCACCACTTAGTGGTGATGGATTTCTTTCAAGCTATCGATGAGCATCAAGCAAGCATCGCTTAAATAATCATATACTCGATTACTACCCTCCGATAATATTATCAGAAACAAAACAAAAATAGATACAAATTAAACGGATAAAAATGAACGAAACTGAGCATTTTACCACTGGTATGTGTGGCTGGCCAACACTGTTGAACACATTTTCGCAATCCTCTCACTTGCAGACTCCACGAAGCCCATCCATCCCGACGATGGCGTGCTGCGGCTGTACTCGATGCGCTTTTGTCCCTATGCACACCGCGTGCATCTCGTGTTGGATGCCAAGAACATACCATATCACAGCATCTACATAAATCTGCAGGCCAAGCCCGACTGGTTTGTTAAGATGAGCAGCACCGCCAAGGTGCCGGCACTGGAACTGGTCAAGGAGAGCGGCAATCCAGTGCTAGTTGAATCTCTGGTCATTTGCGACTACTTGGATGAGGTGTACCCAGAGGTGTCGCTCTACCCGACAGACCCCTTGAAAAAGGCACAGGACAAGATACTCATTCAGCGTTTCGGGCTGTTCATTGCGGCCATTTACAAGCTGTTGCTTGACGACAATCCCGATCTGGATCTCGCCGAACTGAACACCGGACTGGACATTTACGAGAATGAACTGAAGCAGCGTGGGGATACATTTTTTGGCGGCGCCAGGCCTGGCATGCTGGACTACATGATTTGGCCCTGGTGCGAGCGTTTTGCTGCCCTGAAACACGACGACGGGACCCAAGTGGAGTTGGATTCACAGCGTTTTGTGACACTAGTGAGTAGCAACCCATGGAAATCAACGATTTATTGTATTAAATGTTAACTTTTTTCAGCTCAAATGGCGCGACTTGATGCTGCAGGATAAGGCCGTGAAAAGTTTCTATCTGGATGGGGAGACACATGCCAAATACATGAGCTCACGTCGAGCTGGCAATGCAAATTACAATATGCTCTAGTGGGTGTTTTTTAAGCTCCATCCCAAAGCAGACCCAACTAAGATTTGCATTTTTATCTCTTTCGCAGCCATGCCGCCAAGCGTGCCAGACGGGAGTAACACTTCGCTGGCAAGAACACGAAGAGCTGCATATCAAAGTTGCAGGATTACTAATGCTTAGTACCTTATATTAATAGAATTTTAAATCAAAATATTAAAATTCAATTTGAATTGTATTGTTATCGATAAATATATCGGTTCCGCCTGCACTATATAAAAGCGATAGAGCTTCCAATTCTTTGTCATTCGATAGGCAGCGCAACCAACAAAAAGTCAGCGATTTGCGTTTAAAGAATTTTAACTTGAAGAAAACCTTAAACATGTCCATACCGAAGAAGCACTTTAAGAAAGGTCAGTTCAAGGATTATCTGAAGGGCAATTCAAGGCTAGACATCACACACTTGTGGCTACATTTGAGTGGGAAATTGATTTTCTTATCGTAGTTTTCTCTCGCAAAAAAAAAGTAATACGAGAGGCAGCCACACAAATGCACTGCTTTAGCAGATCGAGTTTAATTGTAGATATGTATATACTTTCCCGCCTGACGTCAGTGGCAATTAACGTCCACATCATCAACAGGTACGCCCAAACCGGATATCCCAGAGGATGGCGTCTTGCGGTACTACACGATGCGCTTCTGCCCCTTCTCGCAGCGCGCCCACCTGATGCTGGCCGCCAAGAAGATTCCGCACCACACGGTGTACATTGATTTGAGCGAGAAGCCCGAGTGGTACACCGACTACAGTCCGCTGGGCAAGGTGCCGGCCATCCAGTTGCCGCAATTGCCGGGCAAGCCGACGCTGGTGGAGTCCCTGGTGATTGCCGAGTACCTGGATGAGGAGTACCCGGGCGAGCGCTCGCTGTTTCCCAAGGATCCGCTGCAAAAGGCCCAGGACAGGATACTCATTGAGCGCCTGTCGCCTGCTGTCAGTGCCATTTATCCGGTGTTCTTTACCACAGACCCGCCAGCGGATGCACTGAAGAACTTTGAGGTCGCCTTGGATGTGTTCGAGGAGGAGATCAAGAAGCGCGGCACGCCCTACTTTGGCGGCGATAAGATCGGCATTGTGGACTACATGATCTGGCCGTGGTTCGAGCGCTTCCCCGCCCTCAAGTACACGCTGGCCGAGCCCTACGAGTTGGACCCGAAACGCTTTGCGAAGCTGTTGAGCTGGCGCCAGCTGATGGAACAGGATGAGGCTGTCAAGGCGACTGCACTGGATGCCAAGGTGCATTCCAAGTTTATGCGCACCAGGCACGAGGGCAAGACCAACTATGACTTGGCATTCGAGCCGTTGTAGAGGAGCATCCGGCGGGGGAGTAGATTGTAAAGCAGAGATTAATGAATTGGATTCTGAATCTACAATAAATGTAGCCTTCAAATGTCTGTTTATCTTCGAGGGCATTGAACCTGAAACTTGGCCTGTTATCTTCCAATTTCCAGCCGCCGCACGAACTAACCAAAACTCTGATTACATTTTGCAGGCTCCGCCAAACCGCAGCTACCCGAGGATGGTGTGTTGCGTGTCTACTCAATGCGATTCTGTCCCTTCAGCCAGCGCGTACACCTAATCCTAGATGCTAAGGGTATACCCCATCACAAGATCTACATCGATTTGATAGACAAACCGGAATGGTACAAGGATTACAGTCCTTTGGGCAAGGTGCCCGCCCTGCAGCTGACGAGCGTCAAGGAGCAGCCAACACTCGTGGAATCGCTCATCATAACGGAGTACCTCGATGAGCAGTATCCCGAGTTGCGTCTGTTTCCCACTGATACGCTTCAAAAGGCGCAGGATAAGATTCTGATTGAACGCTTTGCGCCGGTGGTCAGTGCCGTGTATCCAGTGCTGACCTGCAATCCCAGTGCTCCAACGGATGCACTCACGAACTTTGAGACTGCTTTAGATGTGTTTGAACAGGAGTTGGCCAGGAGAGGCAGCCCCTACTTTGCTGGACAAACAATTGGCATTGTGGACTACATGATCTGGCCCTGGTTCGAGCGTTTTCCCAGCCTCAAGCTAACCACGGAGCAGAAGTATGAGCTGAAGCCAGAGCGCTTTGGTCTGTTGGTAAGCTGTGACCAAACCAAGTACAAGTTCCCCTTCTAATGCTCTCTAATTGCAGCTCAAGTGGCGTGAGCTGGTGTCGCAGAATGAAGCTGTGGGGAAGACCGCTTTGGATGCCCAACTACACGCAGACTTTCAGAGCTCCAAGCGATTGGGCAAGCCGCAATATGACATCGCTTTTAGGGCTTAAGCTGGACCTCTGCTTTATTGCTAATTTTCAAATATAAACTGGAATCGCCCATCAGGCTTCCTTGACCAGCAGATTGTAGTTGGGTTTGCCGGCGCTGCGTGTGCGTAGGAATTCGGCCTGCACCTCCGCCTCCATGTAGAAGGCCATCACAGCCGGATCACGCTTCATGCGCTCCACCCATTGGGACTTCATGGAAAGAGCAGTATTAAGGACTAAACTGTGTTATGGAGAATCCAACTCACCAACTGAGGAAAGCGTCGCTCATCGAAATTGTAATCATCGGCACGCTGCAGCTTGAGCAGCTCCAAGCGCTCGCACCATGGCCAAATCATGTAGTCGAGAATGCCCGTTTGTTCGCCACCAAAGAAGTCCGTGCAACGGCGACTCAGCTCCTTCTCGTAGGTATCCAGGCCACACCAGAAGGGCTCCAGATCGCCGCCATCGGAGGCCCTAAAGAAGGCGCCAAGGACCGAGTTGAAGCGCTCGATGAGCAGCCGTTCCTGCACCTTCTTCAGTGGATCACGCGGATAGAGCGGCCGCAGTGGATACTGCTCGTCCAGGTACTCGCAGATGAGCAGCGATTCGGTCAGCACGGGTGGACCCGGTTCGCGTACCAGTTCCAGGGCGGGCACCTTGCCCTGCGGATTCTTGTCGAGCAGCCAGTCTGGTTTCTCTGTGAGATTTATGTAAATGCTGTGGTAGGGTATCTGTTTTGCATCCAGCACCAGATGGACACGCTGCGCAAACGGGCAGAAGCGCATGGAGTACAGACGCAGGATGCCATCCTCGGGCACGTTCGGCGTGGCTGAGCCTGCAATTGGGATGCTGACTATGAGGCTGCAGGAGAGCGGAGTCCAAAGCTGTACCCACCTTTAGCCAAGTGTCTGCCGTTGCTCATGGTGTGTGCTGCTCTGCTGCGGCGTTGCAAGTGATGCAATCAGCCACCGAGACGACCAATATATAAAGAGCAGCAGCAGCAGCTGCCGCGTCCCTGGTTCGGCGGCTACCATTACCCGCCTGATCTTGGCGGCTGCGTGTCAACCTTTTGCGGCTGACACACATTTCAGGCAGTGGGAATACAGTGGAGACTCTCTGTTCTAAGACAACTTTATTCATTCAATAAATTTAAAAACTAAAATCATTGAGATCTAGGCCAGCAGATCGTAGTTGGCGTTGCCCGCTTTGCGTGACTTCCAGAATTCGATGTGCTGCTCGGGGGTCACATAGTAGGACTTGACGGCATCATCCGCTTTGAGCAGCTCAATCAGCTTGGCAATCCGGGCAAAACGTTTCGCATCAAAGCTGTACTCCTTCAGGACGAACTCAATCAATGGCAGACGCTCTAGCCAGGGCCAAATCATGTAGTCCACAAAGCCAGGCTTATCGCCACCGAAAAAGGGTGTTCCACGCTTCACAAGCTCCTGCTCGATGATGTCCAGAGCCAGCAAGAAGTCATCGAGTCCGGTGCTCTGCAGGAAGATCTTATAGAAGGCGCTTGTGACGTCACTGAAACGCTCCAGCAGGATCTTTTCCTGTGCCTTCTTCAGCGGATCCTTGGGCAGCAGCGGATTCTGTGGATACTTCTCATCCAGATACTCGGCAATGATCAGCGACTCGATGAGCGAGGGTGCACCCTTCTCTTCCGCCAGCTGCAGCGCAGGCACCTTCAGCAGTGGACTCACATCCACCAGCCACTCGGGTTTCTCGGTGAGATTAATGAACACGGTGTGATGCGGCACCTTCTTGGCAATCAGCACCAGATGTGCGCGCTGTGCATAGGGACAGAAGCGCATCGAGAACAAACGCAATTGTCCATCATCGGGCAGCACGGGTTTCGCGGAACCTACAAATAAGCAAAGTCATTAAGAGATATTTCCTACGAGCGGTCGAAATCCGTGACTGGATCATAATATCAATAAATGTTGTAGCGAGCCACATAATTGATAAGGCCTTGATTGAGACTTAATCTTATCTATTACGATGTAGTCTGTGCCATGGTAGAATTACTAATAGGTAACGTCGCCAGCTTATTCACCACGCTTGCTCGGCTCTCAGAGAGGCAAGCGCTAGAGAGAGATAGCAAACGTTTATTAATAATTTCACCATGATTTCACCGTGAGCTGGTGTTCCCTGAATCTGAAGGCACTGTGGTGAGTCCGTCATCTTATTAATAATTTCACCATGGTCTGTGCTATATCCATGTTTATAGAGCATTGATAGTAAGCTCGAGGAGAATGATACAATAAAATATCATTAGCTTGCAATATTTCCAGTGATTCAATTCACTTTCATTCGATGTATATATATAACATATATAGATTATATGTATATGAACCCTTCAATCTTCAGTTAGGGATTATTAATTAATCTTAATAAACCTTGTGATCCTTTCTGTGTACCCTAAGAAATGTCCGGAATATTCGAAGCATTGGAGTGTAGAGTAGAAGGTATATGAAAGAGAATTTCCAATTATTCAATCAATAATATTCATTACCATTGCATATGTATGTACTACGTTTCAGCTCAACATAAGCCTGCCGGTCTATAAACTCTACACACATTCCACCTATGCCTAACAGGTTTGCTTTCGTTTTTAAGTTGTTTACCCCTAAGAGTAGTCCTAAAATAGAGACTTTGGCTTACTCTTTCCCCTCAGTGATCAATCGGATAACCATAAAAGACAGTCACACATTTACATATGTTCACACTTGTTTTTGCTTTGGCTTTAGGAGTATTCAACAGTTAACCACAAATAGAAATGCCAACTCATTGTTTGTTTGTGTTCTCTTAATCAGTCGCGACGCTCGTGTTTAAGAGCACTTAGCGGAATGTTTTGAGGTTTTAATTGTTTTGTTTTTATGTTGTGATGAAATAGCAATCCACAGTCCCTGCTTTCTTACCTTTGGCGTAGTGTTTACCAGTACTCATTATGGTTTTGTTTTGTTTTACAGAGTGAAAAACTAGTGAAATATTTGCTGTTTAATGTTGAAGACAACCCAACCGGCTTTGCTGCGGCAACTGAAGTTTCTCTTTGCTGTGCGCTCTGTATTTATAAAGCTTTTCCCCGAGACGAGTGAGCTTTTTTAAACATGACTCTTACGAAATACATGCCCGCAGCAGTTCTGGCTCTTTCGATGGGTCTCGACTTGTACTCGTAGAACCGATTTCTCATTGTCCTCAGTTTATTAATTTTGCGATTAAAACGCTTTTTTAATGCTACATTCAATCTGATTCGTTCACATACACTTCAATTTTTTTACTTATTTGATTAATAATCACGCCCGGCTTTTCAATAATATTGTATGCTAACATCATACAATATATATTCATTCATATACATATATATATATATATATGTATATATTATATATCTTTACAGTTTTACATGGATTGGGGGTTTAAGTGAAACTTCCAACTACCACTACTACACAGTTACACACACACATACATACATTTAGAGACATTTAGTTTTGTTTTTCTCATTTAAAATCGGAATGTAGATCCTATTTACACACAAATTCACGAAATTCCATTCCTTTTTTGAAGTCATATCAAAAAATATACAAAATATACATTAACAAATATTGCTGCTGCATTAAAAAATATAACTGTAGTTTAATCTTCATCAGTTATTTGTTATTGGTTTTGGTTTACAAAAATTAAACGAATAAATGAATATAAAATAAGGATTTATTCGATACGTTTCGGTGTGCCCGAATACTGATTTGAAAGCCCTTGATTGATTGATTGATTTTAATGCAATTATTTCTATTACTTAAATAAGCGTTTAAAAACTGAAATTGGTAAAAAAAATCTCTAGTTTCCTAGACACTTAGCATACAGACAAAAGTAAGTTTCTGTTAATCATTTCATCACATTCAAGGGCTTTCATATTGTAATCTGCTTTTAAAAAACATTCAAGTTTAAATTTAAGTTTAAAAATTGTTCGATTGTTGAATCGTTTTTCTTTTTATCTTTTTTTCGTATCGATTGCGCGTTGTTCTTATGTTTACTTTTACTGGGGGAATATATTGTTTTTGTTGTTTGCTTAAACTAAGTTACAGTACACAAATACATACAATATACGCCTAAAAAAAAGTTCTACTCATTTGAAATTACATACAGTTTCCTTTTCGCAACTATTTTGATGTATTATTTTTTTGTTTTGCATCGTTGACTGACGATTTCCGATTTCTAAGTTTCGTTAATAGTTTCGTTTTGTTTTCTTTTTTGTATTTTGTTTGTTGCTCTATAAAATATGCAAACTTGTTGCGATTTGATCACGGTTCTTGCTGTTTCATTATACATAATATATATCCCTTTTTTGATTACTGGAACGACTTGAATTTATCGAACAAAAATGGTATTTTGATGAAAGAAGTTGCCTTAGCCATGCGACGAGGACAGGCCCGTGGGTGATGCTGTAGCAGCTGTGGCCGCCGCAACGTTGCTCCTTTTGTTCAGAATCGGTGGCTGTGTTTGGGAGGATGATGAAGACTGCTGCATTAGCGTCGTTCGTGTCGAGCTGGAATGGAACTTTGGCTGCATTTGGCTGGTGGACACTGTGGAAGAGCTGCTGCCAGCGTTGCTGCTGCTGCTACTGTTGGACACCTGCTGCTGTTGTTGCTGCTGATGGCTGCAAGTGAACAGAGTTCATCATTTGCTTGGATTTTGTGTGGGGCTAGGGTAGGGCAGGGCATTTAGGACACACACCCCTTCTGCTCGCCATCCTTCTTGCTGTTGAACATGGCCAGCTCGATTTCCGTGTGCTGACTGTTCATATGACGCACCCACTCCGCAGGCGTCTCAAAGGAACTGCAAAAGGAAAATGGAAATACATGAATTTCTCCTCTCTCTTTGGGTAACTGAAAGCCGCTTACGTGGAGCACAAATCACAGAGCAGCGTGACATGATCATGATCCATATTATTCTCCTGTTGCTGCAAACAGGAATGGGATTAAGCACAGCTGGCTCATGGCTGAGCGACCGAAACTCACCGAAACTCTGCGTCGCTTCTTTGGCACATAGGTTTTAAGCGCACGCATCGCTAGATTTGTGTTGCTGGAAGTTGTCGTTGCACTGCCGCTGGCACTGGCACTGGCCGCCATCAGATTGGTGCCCGTTCCCGGCTCGTTGGCATGTGTGCCCAGGTGACGCACCAGCGTCTTGGTGTCCTCGAACGACTTCTGGCATATCTCGCACACGAGCAGCTGCTTGAAGTTGTTGTAGTCGCGCAGCGTGTGCTCCTCGGACTCCTCGTGCGGCGTGCCTCGGTCGCGATTCAGCTCCAGCTTGACGGCGCTCATCTTAAAGTCCAGCGGCTGCTTGGGCGACAGATGCGAGTGTCCGTCGTGATTGTTGTTGCTGACATTGGCCGCTGTTGGTGGGTTGTTCGACCAGTCACTGGGCTCCTGCTTGATGCTGAGAAAACTGTGCGGATGTGGCGGTGGCGGTGGTGTGGCAAAGTGCAGCGGTGCCTCGTAGTACTCGTGAGCTGTGGCAGTAGAAATGGAATCAAATAAGTCTTCCAGCACCCTAGACCCACTCTTACCTCTCTCGCATGCACTCTCACGACGCAGGCGACGCTCGTAGACCAGACCCACATCCTCACGCTCACAGAGCGCCTGCTCCTCGTACTCTGGCCGACGCAGTGTGGTCTCCGCCGGCTCGGTGGCTGTGCCCACTGTCAGCGGACAGCTGCTGCAGCCCACTTCTGTGCATATGGACATGGCTGGCGGTGGCGCAGCTCCTATGGCTACTGCCACAGCTCCAGCGGTCGTAGACGAAGGCGGCGGCTGTGGCTCCACTTGACTGCTGGCTGCTGCATAGCAGCACTTGTCCTCGGGATCGATGGCCACCTCCTTGTTCACGGATATGCCCAGCTTGCTGCTGCTGGCCACGCTCAGCAGACCCGTGTGTGCGGCCATTTTTGGGGACTTGACAATCACGGGACTGTCCTTTGGCATGACGGAAGCGCCGAGGCCACGGAATTGCTGATGCTGTTGGGAATGATGATGATGATTGTGATGCTGATGCTGTGGCTGTGGCTGTTCCAATGCATATCTGCCGGCGCCAGTGCTGCTGCTGCTGCTGCTCGGCTTGCTGCTGTAAATGTCGCCCAGCAGCTGTGTGGACATGGGCGGTGGTGGCGGCAGCGTCGAGCGCGAGCCATTCGACACATACATGGCGCTGGCTGATGTCTCCCGCTGATGCAGATGTCCGCCATGTGGGTGATGGTGCGAGGATGTGACTGTGGTGCTGCTGCTGTTGGAAGCGCTGGAACGGCAGAGGCCGCGAATCTTCAGAATCTCGCCGCCCCGCAGCACCTCGTTGAGGATGTCGTTGGAGACGGTGGCCTCGCCGCTGTACATGTACTGCACCAGGATTTGTATGGCCCGATGGCTCAGATCGGGCGGAAGCACAACGTATATGACGCCGTTGGGCGAGGTAATAGGCGCCGTTTCAAACATCGTCGCAAAGAACTGACTGCAGGAGCTCAGTATAAACTTGTGCGCGGAGATGCCCACCGTCGGTATGTCCGAGTTGATGCTGCTGCTCGTGTAGCTACTATACAGCACCACATCGGCAAACTTTTCATTCCTGCAACGACACCAAATGAACATTTAATGGAGTTAAACCAAAGGGAATTCAATTTACTCACTTGTAAAGCGTGGCAATGGAAGTGTTCAAGTAGGAGAGATGCGAGTCCCACTTGAGGTGATAGTTTTCGGCGGCCATCTCGAGGCCGAAAGCGCCTCGCACGCCACGCACTGCAATCAATACCAGAAAATCAATAAATTGCGGCAGACTGGGGGCCAGAAAGTTTTCAAACATCTTTTTCACCTCGCCACAACCCCAGCGCCACATGTGGCGCGAAAGCAACCCTGTCCAACAGCCATATCGATTGCGCTATCGAGTGTGCCATCGGGCTTGCAGTTGGGGCCAACTGTCACCGCTAATTGTTTTGCTTATTTACAAAATTACAAGAAGAAAAGTAAAAACAAAACAAATCGCAACGACAATGAGCGACGACTTTGACTCGCGCTTAATTAGGTTGATACGGGGTAACCCCAAGCTCTTTGAGCGAGAAATCCGCAGCACACCATACGCAGTGAAGAGAAAGGACAAGGAGGAGCTGTGGCGCGCCATTGCGACATCCCTGCAAACGGATGGTAATTATGCTTAAATCTCGACTAGCTATCAGTACTTAGATCCCCGTTCCCCTGTAGTCAAAACATGCACAACCCGTTGGGAGCACCTTAAATCGAAACTGCACCAGGAGTTGGCCAAAGAGGCGCAGGGTGTGGGCTCCACCTGGAGCCTGCTGCCCAAAATGAAATTCCTAAAGCCAGGTGGGGTGGCTGTGAGAAGTCCACACCCCTCGGATGCGCTTATTGAGGAGGTACACGACGAAGAGGACACGCTGCAAGAGGCAATGGATGAACAGTGCACAGGAGGGGCTGTGGCAAGTGTTAGTGCCCAAGTACCCACATCCCCAACCCCCGCTTTAACACCAGCAGATACCATGAAACGTGTGGGGGTCCTGCTAGAAGGGTTGGGCGAGGAAGATTGCGTTAAGGCGGGAAAAAGAATCATTGCGTATTTGTGCAAATGCAATTTGCGCGCTTTAGAGTGTAAGCCCATCGATGATTTAGTTATTTAATTAGGAAAGGGAAACCCTCAACGAACTGAATAGCTTTAGATTTTGATTCTGTATTTAACCTCTGCTCTGCGTTGGGTGGGTGCTGGGGGCACACACAAAAATCGAATTCAACCACGCCAAAAACTCCAGTCCTACTACTATGACGCAGTTCAGTTTTGTGGAGCTGGTCAAAGAGTGCGCGCGCAAGCAATAACATGTCCAATGGTCCCCCAATGTCTGGATCAGTGTACGTTGGGTGGAGGGGACAGTAGGGGGTATGCGCGACGACGCCAAAACAAGAATTTAGTTTATTAATTTGATGACTTCGCGAGCGCAGACCATGCAATATTAGCGAAAACAAAAAAAAACCAAAACGAACGAAGGCGCGTCGTCGTCCTAGTCCTCCTGCACCCTTAAACTACTCTACCGTGTCCCCTCCCCAGCCCCTGCACACACCTTTGACAAAGGCCACCACTACTACTACGAACTACTCCTCTCCCTTATGGAAGCCAGGGCACCGACGCCGCCCTCCATCGCCATCTCCTCCACCTCCCCTCGCACATTCGGTATTAACACCAAATTATCGATTGATTTCAGTCACAAGCACAAACAAAAATCGATAAGCTGCCACTCAAAATCCACAAATTGTACAGTTAAGTTTTATGTTAATTTACAACCATTTGCCTGTGGCTTGCAATTTATTGTGTCAATTTTATGTTTAGTTTAAATGTTCAAATAAATGCGACTTTTAAAAATCGCGCCTAAAATGCTTCAGGGAATATTTTAACAAAAAACCAAAAATTCACCTTGGCTTTCCTTTTCTTTATGTAGCTGTTTTTGTTGTGAAATGCACTTGTAACGGTTGAATTGAACTTTATTTTTTGTAATTTTAAATTGTAATATTTTGCATTAAAAGCATTTGTTTAAACTACACACTGAGACGTGCGACGGTTGTGCGACAGGGGGGGAAACACTGCGCCGCGTCCAAAGCTTTCGCTTTGCCTGAGAGCTTACGAATAAATGCAGCAAACGAACGAATGTCCTGGTCCTGCTTGTTTGTGAGTACAGGTAATGGTAGGTAAGGCACACCACCCATGTCGGAATGAGTGAAAGAGCACAAAGAGCGGGCCTTAACTTATGCTGAATATACCTTGTGCCTGGGCGCCAGAGAGAGCGTAGCACCAGGAGAGAGAGAGAGCGGAAACGAACTTACTTACCCCCTCTCTCACGTGCGCATTGTTATTGTTGTGGCTTGTGGTGGCTTTTGAAGTTACTTACATACAAATAACGGGAGCATCGGGCAACGCGCGTAAAATTGATTTCCCTGAGCATATTGATTTCTGTTTGCGTACCTTACAGCCCCGCCACCACCTCTGCTACCACCTCCTTCTCTGGCTCCACCACAGTCTCCTCCACAATGCGAGTTTCCGTTGGGGTTGCGGTGGGTTCCTCATCCTCCTTCTTAATCATTGCCTCCTGCTCCAGCTGCATTTGTGTGGCCGTTGAGGTGTCCTGCTTGAACAGCTCACGCAGCAACATGGTGGCATAGGCAGCCGTGGGCAACGAAAACTCCAGCACGAGTGCCAAGTACTTGGCCTCCTCCTCGGAGGGTTCAGGCGTGATGGGAATGCCCTTCATCAGCTCAAAGTCCGAGGCTATCAGGGTGTCTTCGGGCGTGTTGTAACGCCTGAAACTCCACTTCAAATCATTTGGCTGAATGATCATCTTGCGGTAGGCACCCGCCAAGGCGTACGTCTTCTCCTTGTGCTTCAGCAGCTCCGAGGAGAGGCCCACCTCGGCCATCATCTCCGCGTACCACGCACCGCACTCGTTGGCGGGATATGTGATGTCATGGCCGGGCAGGGGCAGGACCACATCGGAGAGCTTATACTTGCCGCTGGCAATGTCCTCCTCGCTCAGCGGTCGCACTTTGCGCTTGAACACCGATTCCTCTTCCAGGGAAATGGCATCGACATCCTCTTCGACGTCTGCGAGATCTTCGTCAGTCTCCTCCACAGCTTCAGTCTCTGCAGGCTCAACTGGGTTATCCTCCTCCATGGGCTCCGACTGCTCCACATACACCAAGTCGCCGGGGATTAGCTTTAGGCCGAACTCCTTGATTCTGCGCGAGGCAATGCGGTTGAAGATCAGGCTCTGATACGCATGCGGATACAGCATCAGCATGTTGCGCGGTATCTGCCGCAAGGCTGAGGAGTAGTCCGTCTCCCCAAATCTAGCCAGACCATCGAGTAGCTTCTTCTCGATGAACTTGTCGCCATAGAACTTGGCAGCCGCTGCCGCAGAGTCACGTTTCTCCCACCATTCCGCTCGTATGGCACGCATGAACTCGATGTCCGTGTCGCGGGGCTTTAGGATCAGCTCGCAGGCCAGCTTGTAGTCGCGTTTCAACAGCGCCACACCCACCTCATAGGTTGGGACACTGGCACTATTGCCAAACCGCTGCAGTCCGTAGTAGTTGATGAAGCCGCGCTCCTTGAGCGACTCCAGCGAAGCCTCGATATCCGCCTGCCTCTCCTTGGCAATGTGACGCAAGGCGATGCGGAAACGATTGCCCTGCAGATCACCCAGCCTAAGGGTCGTTGATCTAAAGTTAAAGTTGCCAAAGAAGACATTTCTGATGGCTCGTGCTGCCTTGATTATGCTCTCCGGCGAGCGGTGCTTAATAGAGAAATTTTGCGTGGTCTTGGCACGCTTGTCCTTGGTGCCACAGTAGTTGACCTGCGAGGGTCGCAAGCTATAAACAAATCAAGCAACAAAATTAGATATTTAATTATGGCGTAATCGCGTGGAGGACCTACTTGAGGCGCGAAGCTAGCGTGGAGGCCACCTCTCCGGTATCTATATTCGTTTTGTGCACCAGAAATGTGACATATTCGCCGGGAAAGTTCCATCGATTGTCGCCTGTTCAAATGGGAACTCTGATTAAGAAGTTTCTCGAGTAAATGACCTTTCACCTACCTCGTCCATGCTTTGGTTTCATTATGCGTATGGTTTTCTTTTCCTCCACTGGCGGAACTAGGGGTTCCTCCTTCCCTTTCACCTGTTGCTCCTCCTGCGGTTTCTCCTTAGCCTGTGGCTGTCCCATTGTGGTGGATACGAGCTTGCCCGTGTACAGTTGCTTCACCAGTTGATGAATTTTCGTGCGCTTATCCTTGTCCAGGCTGCTCACATCGATTTCTACCTTCTGCTCAGTCTTTGGATCAAATTTGGCCTCTGCCAAGCTGGCAATATCCTTCCAGACTTCTGGGCCAATCACCTCCTCCAGCTCTTTGCGCCACTCCACCAACTTCTCAGGGTCCACAACTGCAAGTGGAATAAACAGAGGAATTTATAAGAATATAACCAATGGCACTGCTAATATACACACCCTCCACGGCTGCCTTGGGCACGGTCGAATCATTCAACTCCAGCACGTGTCCCTCGGTGTCAATTTCGTTGACATGGAAGTCGGAGAAGCGTGACTTCAAAATGCCCGTAAATCCGGGAGCATCTGCATTTGTGAACTCTGTGATGCCCACCTGGTTCTCGAGCAGTGTGGATTTTTGCTGCGGCGCTGATCTGAAAACACATCGAAGTCGAAGCCGGTTACATGGGGACCGCAAATCCATTAATTTTCCCACCTGTTGCGTGGGCCTCCATTATGCTGCGGACGGTCCTTCTTCTGGCCACGCCAATTGCTCTTATTATAAGGCCTAGACTGATGGTTTCTGCGTCCCCTGCCCCGTTCTTTGCCCATTTTAAAGTTAGTTGAATTTCTATCAGAATTTTCAAAGCAGCCACCACACACGTTGTCCACCAGGTTGACTATCGATGTGCCAAAACATATGACTTCAAAGTATCGAATAGAACGGACATCGATGTGCTTCCACAGTGTGAGTGTGTAGTCGTTCGAGTGTCATCACTAGGCAACGAAAATACGTAACAAAGGCATGCATACATTTGTGACATTTGTTTAAATTTGGTTTGTCATAAGGATTAACAGAGACTACAACAAAGGAAGGACTGAAAATCGATTAGCAAAATGTTGCCCCACCTGAGCACCGAGGAAATCCTGCCGCCCGCAACGCGAAAAGTGTATATTAATCCAAATTTTCAGATGGCTCTGCAAGGCCGAATTGCTCATCCGTTTCAGCCCCTGCAACAGCAGCAACAGTCTCAGCCGCCTGCCATCCATATAAACCCGCACTTTCTGCAGCGCCAGCAGGCCATGTACGAGGAGTATCGCCGTCAGGAGCGTATCCAAGAAATGCAGCAACTGGTCTCCACTCCGTTCTACCAAGAAAGGGTGGTGGCCGCTGCCAAGGTGACGACACATATTCCAGCCAGCACAACGCAGGCAAAGATCATAAGTAAGGCGAGTACTTGCCTGGTGCGAAAGGCCAACGTTAAGGCTGCCCCGCTGCGTGTTCCCTCGCCCGTTGTGGTTGTGCCCCAGCCGCCTCTGGTTAGCATATCCAAACGGAAAATCGTGCGCCAGCCAGCTGTAAAGTCAACGATTACGCCCACTTCAACGCCTCCACCGCCTGCAAAGCGCACGAAATACAAGCTGGTGCGCACCATCTCCCTTACATTTACGCCGCTGGTCAAGAAGCGACGCACCTTGGGCGAATTTGTGGGCCAATACGCGCTGCAGCGTACCAACGAGACGGAGACAGCCAAAAAGCCGAGGTTTGAGTCAATGTTTAGTCTACTCTGCACCAGTTTAAATTCCAATCCATTTCTCATCTAAAAGCTCCAAGCCGCAGGTGGTTAAGGCCAGCGTTAACAAGTCCCTGAGCATGGTCAGCATACATGGAGTGATGTACAAGAAGATATCAAAGAATAAGCTCACCAAACTGGATGCCCGTACCGGAGCTGTGGCCAAATCCACGACAAACAGAACCCTCAAGCGAACTGTGTCTGGCCGGACGTTGCTTGTCAGCGGCAACAAGTTCATCATTGATCCCTCGGGCTGCCGTCTAACGAGAGTGCCAGCTGCAAACGTGGCAGCAACGTCGTCAGCCGCTGCTTCTGGTGCAAGCCAACTGCCCGGCAATAGGACCACTCTACGCCGCATCGATATCGGTGGCCTGACCTACGTGGCCTCGGCCAAGACCAAGAACGTGTTCATACGCACCACGAATCATGTGTCGCGCGCTCACTTGATCACCGCCAGGCAACGCAGTCTGACGCTGCTCAACAAGTCGCTGGTGAAGACAAATGTGCCGTGTGCCATTTACCAGAAGCTCGGTAAATGCGCGGCGCACAGCCGCGGAAAGTGCCGAAAATTGCACGACAAGCGACAGGTCACCATCTGTCCAAGGTTGGTGCCACAGCCGTGCGAGGAGCGACTCTTCGATGGTGTTCCCCGCGGTGGCTGTCAGCGGTAACTTTCCTTGCTTAACTTTGCTTTACCAATTGCAGCTTTCTGCGCGGCGAATGCACCAAAACCGACTGCCTGCTCTCGCACAATGTGACGCTGGAGAAGATGCCCGTCTGCCGCTACTATCTGCGAGGCGTTTGTGTGCGTGAGGACTGCCCCTATCTGCACAAGAAGCTCAGCCGCAACACCGAGATCTGCATTGATTTTGTGCGTGGCTACTGCCCGCTTGCTGCCGAGGTAGGTTTCCTTGATTCAATGGCCCATCATCCTATTAACGCCTTTGCCTCTTCAAGTGCAACAAGCGTCACGAGTTTGCCTGTCCCGAGCTGGAGCGCAAGGGCACCTGCGAGCTGGCCAAGTGCCGCTTCTGCAAGCAAACCTCAAAGCGGCTGATAAAACCCAAGCCCAGGAGGAACAGAAAATCTGTCAGCATTCAGGAGACTCCACAGGCTGCTGCTAGCCCAGTCCCAGCCATGGAGCAGCCCAGTAGTTCTCGGTACTTTAGGTGCGACGACGAACAGCCGAGCCAGGACGAGACCCTTGCCCTTGAGCAGCCACCAAATGGAGATACCGAAGAAGAGCTGCCTGTGGAGGAGGATGCGGGACCAGTTAGCTTCCGACGACGACCAAAGTTAGGGGCACTGCCTGCCTTCATACCGCTAGGCAATGAGGAATGATAAGTGTGATGCATGCATGTGACGATTCTTGGATCCAACGTTTCAGGTACAAATCAATTTGGATAAGTATGGTTCTATAGCTTATTTTAGGTCCTCATTTTTAAATTTACTCAATTTAATTATTACGAAATAAAGATATATATTTTATTCAAATAATTGAAGGTAGTTTTTATTTTATTGAATTCCGCGGAGAGGTTATAGGAGAACTGCTCCCCTTTCACGAAACAATAGAATTTCGATACAAACCAATAAAAATAAGTATTTACCATACGTCAAATTGATCCTTCAAACGGATTAAATTATTGTTTCAGTGTTAAAAGTCTTTGCAAGCTAGTAATATCAAATAGAACATCAAAATCTAGGAAAATAATTTAAGATTCACGGTATATTTACAGTATATTTTGAAAATGCAAGGGTCTACTCCGGTATATTTCCGAGGGTCTCTTGGTATTTCTATCGCTAATTCCGCGGTCACACTGCTTAACAAAAACTCCGGTACCGAAAGGTTGTGCGCACGCGTAGCTCCCAACGAAGTGAAGTGATTAAACGCGTTATTCGGTTTCCAAAAACAACTTACAGTCCAGTAGTGTCTGCTGCTGCAATTTCGGCAAATTCGCAAAGTGAGTTTGGGAAAAAGAAACGCGAAACAAAAGCTGAGAAATTTCGGCAACGGCCTTTGAACTGCGCAAGGTAGCTTTTCGGAATTTATGCACTGTTTCTGTGTTGCTCCCTTTCTTCTGTGGTCTGTAATTGAGGCCATGTATTTTTCCCCATTTTCGCCAAACAACATGGACTTCGATTTCAATGGCCGAGACATACTGACTTGTTGTAGCTGTCGTAATTTTCCCCCAAAACGTTCTCGCTTTGGTGCATTCCACAGTAAATGCTACACTAATAACAAAAGCAACAACATGAAGTTGTAGAAAACAAGGAACCCAACAGCAACAACAACATCGAAAAAGCAAAGGAAGGCAATCCAAAGATTGGCCGCTTCCAGCAAAAAAAGATGAAAAAAAGTTGCTTGACTTGTTTGACCCGTGCATGTGTACGTGTGTGCGTGCATGTTTGTGGTTTCGTCTCAGGTGTGTGAGTGCGACTCTGTCCGTGCCTGCTTCTTCTTCTGCTTCATCTGTTGCTTCTTGTTGTTGGTCGGCAGCAGCAGCAGCCCGTATTCTACATAAATTCCCAAACAGAATGACACATAAAAGCCATCAAAATGAATTCTTAATATATGCAAAGAACAACAAAAGCAAATGTAAAACAACATAACGGCCTGCATAACTTTAATAAATTTATGTAACGCAAAGAAAAACTGCAAATGGATTACGGCAACAAATATTTTCGTGCGTTAACGTGTGTGTGTGATTGAGTGTGAAAGAGAGTGAAAAAATTGCAAAGTGAGGGCCGCATTCGTGTCTTCGTTGTAGGAAAACGGAATTACAATTAATAGGGATCGGATTGGTTTAGTGACGTGTAAAGTGCATAAATTCAAATATACAGTAAATACATATCCATCTATCCCCAAAGGAAGAAGAGAAACAGCATCTTGTCTAAGTTCTTGCGCTCTTTCGTTCTCCCTCGCGCTCTTCACTCTCGTTGGCACTCATTTTCATTACGCATATTTTCACCAATTAAATTTATTTAAAACTAATTCTTTAGTCTGTGATAATAAAAAACGAGAAACAAGAAGAGCAGAAAGAGAAAAGTAGCCAGCAAAATCAACGGAAAAAGTAGAAAATCCGAGAACCAACAGCAACAAGAGGAGAGAGAAAGAGAGAAGAGAGAAGGTGAACTTTCCAGTCTGCAGGCGGCATTCCATCCATGGTGAGTAGTTGTAGTTGTTGTAGTAGGTAAGTTGGGTGAAGTGAGCCCAAAAAAGTTCCCAAAACCAAAAGTCTTGACCAAAAATGCTTAAGCAAGTAATTTATGTGACAAGGGGAAAATTAAAAATTAAAATCCCAAGGGGCTTCTCTTACCCCCCGCTGCTCGTGCTGTCTCTGCCGGTCAATAAAAATAATTATATTAGATTTGATTTTCATTTAATAATTTACATAATTTGACCCTAAATGGGTTCCCACACCACACTGCGGTGGGTCGTCGCTAGCTCGCTCGCTCTCCATAGAACGGTAACGGCTAACGGTGGTTGCTGCAGCATGGCTGCCACTTTCTAGAGCTCCTTTTGGCCCGACTCGGACTTGGACTCGGAGTCGGAGTCGGTCTCGCTGCGCTTTTAGTCTAATGATGTCAATTACATCGTGCCACTCGCAGCAGCAGCATTTGCGGACAACAAATGCATGCCACGCTTATAAGGCAGCAACAATGCGGCCTGCCACAACAGCAGCGCAGCAGCGGCAGCAACAACAACAAGTGCCTGTGACTCCAACTCTGGCTTCATTAAAATTGCTTTTCGTTTTGTCTACATCCATGTCCATGTCTCTCGCTCTCCTTCGCTCGCCTAACCGTTCGTTCGTTCGTTCGTTCGTTCGTTCGCCTTGTTTCCTTTTTCCATTCCATGCTGTTTTCATGTTCGTAGCTACTGGGAAATGGTTTTATGTTTTTCCCAACCAACCAGCAGCAGCAGCAGCAAACAATTTTAATGAGATTTCACGAAATTGTACAAGCAGCCAGTTAAGGCCATGAAAAACCAAAAACCAACAAAAACTCGAAACACCTCATATAAATCGCAACACATTTTGGATTTGTGTGATTAATTTTGTTGCCGATTTGTTAGTTAACAAGTTGCCAAAGTGTAGGGGGGAGGGCAGAAAGAAAAAATGAAGGAAAACCTTGGCAAAAATCCACACAGCAGCAGCCGCAGTTGGTCTAAGGAAAGCGTAGACGGAAGGAAGTATTTTAAAGCAATAAAATGGCCAAGTTTTGGGTGCAATAAATGGTCTCTATTTCTTCATTGATTTCCCCATGAACTTTCCTAATTTTTATAGACACAATAAAGCTTATTTTCCGTGTCATAGCTGAGCACTTAAGCACCCTTTGTCATTGCAACTGCTTGCTACCCACTGGAATGAGCTTCACGGCTTACACTTTAATAAACATCAAATTTATGACTCAATTTTTGTACTGAGACCTCGCTCCAAAAATGTATTTTTTCGGCCCAAGAGGAAAGACACCAACCAAATCGGTACCAAAATCGCTGTTGTCACGCCCACGTCGTTGCATGGCCAGGGGTTATGGTGGTAGAAATAAAGGCAGAACGAAGTTGAGTGGCTTGGAGTAAGGGTTAGGACTGGGGCTGGGGATGCGGCCACTCTTTACGCCCAATTTGTCACACATTTCAACAGGTTACGAGATGGTGAGAGGGAAAGGGAGATGTAGAAGTAGAGGCGGAGGCGCATTATCAAAACCCGAACGAAGAAGACGTTGACGATGACGAGGAACGAGGTCTCTGGATGGGATACCCACATACTGAGGTCTCTGGGTAGAGGGTCTGTGGCTGGGTAGGCGTTTGTGGTGTGTGGAATTTTCGGGCATACCTGGCGGGCCTTATAAAGCGTGAGGAATTTCTTGTGCTCTCCCCCCTCTCCACCCCATGCACTGTGTACCTGGCACTGTGGCTCTTTGGCTTTGGCTCTGTGGCCTGTTGTCCTTTCTAAGTGAAAAATTATGCAAAAGTGTTTCATTTTAATAGCGGAAATCATTTATAGAAGTTGTAATAAAGAACCAGCGTGTACACCTCGTCCCTGGGCTGGGTCCCCCTGGGATATTCATGTTTTCATTTATTTTTTTCTGCTTTTTTTTGGTTGATGTTGCATGTCCTACCTCCTTCTTTGTGCTGTGGCCCTGGGCTGGGTTTTGTGCTCGTTAAACGACCGCCAACGTAGAGCGAATGCAACAATGTTGCAACACTTTGTTATTGTGACAGTGGAGCAGTCCAGAGTGTCGGGTGGTATGGAATGGGATGGGGCCACATGGGGCACTGTGGCCATGCAAAAGGAGTCAGTCTAACTACATATAAAGGCAAAACTTCAGTTAACGCTAATGACCTGACAAAAGGAATTCCAAGTGGTTCATGTTCATGTTTTGGCTTGCTTGTTGTCGTCGCTGTAGTTGTTGTTTTTTCCACAAACCACACAGACACAGAATTAAACTGCAAAAGTTCATTAGTTGCAATAAGAGAGAAGAATCGATGCAAGGAAAAAAGCACCCATGGAAAGTATTTGGAAATTCTTTTCCATGGAAACATAAAAGACTTAAGACGCAAACTTTCAAATCCAAAAAGATGAACACCATGTAAAAGGGAAAGAGTCTTTAAGCTAATGTCGTATCCTACCATTAACGCAATATGACTTAATTTCTGAGAAAACTCCAAAGTCACACAAAAGACTTGGAACACGAACCTGCAAAAAGTACACAAAAAAGTACGCATAATCTTTGATGTTATTTGATACAACTAAACATATAAACTACTTCCTCATATGACTTCATTTTATAGCAAAAAACCGTGCAAAAGTACCAATGGATTAGAAACAAAAAACTTAATAAAATGGGGGAAGAGGCAGCAGCTCATCTTGTGGCTGCTGTCACTGAAGCGGCTGCTGTCTCTCACTGGCAGACATAAAAAGAGCTGCCATAAAAACGGCGGCGTGCAAGTACAATTATAAAATCATCAAGGCATCTAAATTAGCTCATTTGGATCCATGAAACCTGGCCTCATAATCGTTAAAAGCCAAACGGCAGCAGCAGCAACCAACGCAGAAACTAATAACACGAGAAAATTGTGCAAAAATTGCAAAAGAAAGAAAGCAAACATAACCAATAAAAGTAATAAAAGCAAACTTTTAAAAATGCCGCCACACAGGCGGCCAGGCAATTGATAAGCGTTTTATGACAGCGATCCAGAAAGAGAGGGAGAAGATGGAGAGCAAAAGAGTCAGCGAGCCAGGTGGAATGCATTACGGTTTATGCATTTTTTTTAATGTTCATTGATTTGAAAATTGCCCAGTATTGAGTGCATCGAAACGGATCATAAACAGAAGTGATCATAAATGCCGACAACAAATTCCATTTGGAATGTTCAAGGCACGCTGCTGCTGCGTCCAATGTTGCTTCCACTTAATAAAAGTGTAAAATCGATCCAATTCCAATCGGCAGGCAGTGAGTGCAAAACGGTTTTACGATGAAATACAG